TTTTTTGAGTATTGATCTTGTTTATTTTTTCTAGACAGCTATGAATGTAACTCGGGATGACTTGGAAGGGGGCAGAGGAGATGGCGAGGAGGAGGGGGTCGTGGTGGTGGTCGGCAATGCGGCCCAAGCGAAGGCATGAGAGGCGTTGGGGGCAGACGACACCAAGAGCAGCGACCTCTCCAGATTCTTCTTATTTTGTCATGAGATGGCTAGATGAGGTGAGAGGCAGGGGGTTATCTACAAACGAGTAGTGGAGTGCGGAGGTCTTTTTGTAAAACTGACATAGTTTGTCTCAGATGCGTTGGATGTAAATCGAACGGTTGTAAATGAAGGATGGCAGGCACACCATCATCACCGACTCAGCTTTTTATAGGAGTAAGATAAGAGATGATAGATGAGGTACCTTTTTGCTTGTTTCTTGCAGCTCTCCAGCGAGAATAAACTCATCCAATATCAAGTAAACCTAGAGAAAACATGATAAATAATGAATTCAAAATTATAAATGATTCCCAGCCACAAGAACAATTTATTCAAAATTTAGAAGATCTTCAAATATGTTACTTCGATTTAAAAATATAAAGAAATTAGAAGTATAATCGGTCAAACTTGGTTCAGATTACACCTAAAATCAACTTAAAAATGTTTCCTCTTTCCAGGTCCAGTTTAGACTTTAGAATGGATTACTGTCTAATGCAAATACAGTTTGAATCTTGACCAAATTTACCAAGGGTTGAGTGTAAACTATATGGCTGACAGGAAGGAATTTGAAATCATGCGAGCAGAAGGACAAATCTGTATCCAACTATAGAATAGCTGCCTACCCTTGTCAAGTTATGTTTCATGGTTTCCGGCAAAAAAAAAAGCTATGTTTCAAGGCAAAACTTGCCCAGTAAATGAATATTTAAACAAATACACTACCAGCTGAGTAACTTCCATCTTTTTCTTTCAACACGAGGAGTGAGGTAATATAAACAGTTTTGAAATAGCTATTCCCATGTTACCTTGTGGAAGTTAAATACTAAATCAAGTTCACACACGTTGCTGAAGAAATGGTCCAATATCTCCACAAATAAGTGGATACATTCCAAGTATACCAAATCATTATCCGTGATATCTACACATATTGAGAAAAATAGTCCTGCATATCTCCTGTAGATAACTTTGTGCGTACGGAACTGCATGAAAAAACATCCAATTAGATTTTGCCTGCTCCCCACTTGATAGCAGTTTCTTACAGATATGTCCATAGATTGAATAGGTTAATTCACTAGGAGCATATACAGTGTGGTGTTTAAGAGGCTTAGAATTTCTACCTTAGTCATCTAACAGTATTATTATTAACTTGCATATTCAGAATGTTACTCATTGTCGAAACCAAACACTACCTCATTAAGTAAACGTACCTAGTGGTAACTGAGAATCGTCAAAGAAATGAACAAATTATCATTCAAGATAATGCCCAAGGCATTTATGGTATTTTATTACTTGGATTCTTTGACTGTTTGAAATCAGTTAGCAGATGACTCTTTATCTTTCAAAATTTCAGAGCCAAACCTATCTATCTCTTCACCCTGTTTTTAGGGGTTTCCTTTCCAAGCTTACCATACTACTGACTTTGTAATTATAAGTGGGATATGAACGGATTAAGGACGAGCAGCCAAGGGGATCATAACAACAAATGAAAAACACGCATGCAGTATAAAGGTAAAAGCCCCGTCTTCGTGATCCAGAACAGAGGTTGTACACGGATACAATATACAACTGTTTTCATCGGATATTCACATATCTATCAGTGTAAGACAACACAATTGATGCTCCTGAAAGATCTTCTGCGTATGTAAATTTGGAAACTGGACATGCCATCTCAATTTGGATCCTACAGTTATCCTGCTATTCACCGATGCACGCATGGCAGCAAAGGAATTAGAATGGATTCACTAAAGGAAAATTTACAATAAGCAAGTATCAAGAACCCATTAGCTTGACATCTAGCAATAGCATATATCAGGAACCACTCACAAACTATGTACCAACTATAATGATAAAAATTACGCTTTTAGCAAACCCAGCAAAATGTGCAAACAACAACAGATGTAGTATGAACTATGAACCCAGCAGTATAGCATTCAGTGTCTTCTCTACAACTACTGCATTCAACCTGCAGATGCTTGTGTAGTTGCATCTAACCAAAGAACAGCTAGGCCACAAGGCACAACCTTTTCTAACCGCGATTCAATGTACCTTTGTACTCCCTCCATTCCAAATTACTCATCGCAGAAATGGATGTATCTAGAACTAAAATACATCTAGATACATCCATACCTGCGACAAGTAATTCGGAACGGAGGGAGTACAGCAGTATCCACAATTCTACAGCGACTAAACTTATTCTACCTTTTGATCAGATCAAGAACTCAGAGCCCTGGTCTAAATTGCTTCAGACCAAAGCAAAAAAAACGATATCTAAGCTAATTTCGCTTGCGCATATACAGCTGTTTGGCCTCAAATCAGGATCAAGAATTCAATCACCTCAACGAAGTTAGTGAACTTGGGGTCCCTGTTGACGACCAGCCGATGCACCTGGGATACAGAGGAACAACACAGATCAACAACACCCTAATCAGATAGAATCTTTCTCTACGGCTAAATGGGCTGGCCCTGGCTCCGCTCACCTCATACTCAACCTTGTGCTTCTCTGAGTCCTCGAGCGGGACGTAGTACTTGGCCAGCCGCGTCTTCCCCTGCCGATTCTGCAACAGGATGAAACGGATCTGCAAAGAGGTGAGCAAAGATCGGACGGAAGAATGTCAGATCCCGGAGAGGAAACCCGGCGGAGTGGAACGCGAGAACGATCCGTACCATGCTGGGTGATGATGATGACGACCACGCTTGAGAATTCGCGGGATTGGAGCTTGGGAGGGGAATGAATCGGATTTGTGTTGCTTGGTTTGTTGGGTTATGCAGAATGAGCTGTGGGTGGGTTCACCGTTGAAAAGTGGTGCCTCGGCTTCCTCTCCAACCACGCCAGTATTGCTCTTGCATGCGTTAATTTAACTTCTGTGAATTCTTTTTTACGCAGCCGCTCGTATGCACGCAACCCATACCTACTAGCACCTTAAAAAGACTCAATCCATACATCATCTTAAAATTAACAAAATCACGTCTTCTTAGTTTTTTTTTTAGCATCAGTACAGACACAAGCGCTCATATACACGCGCATACACTCACCCCTATGAACGCACACACGCACACCCTACCCCTATGAGCACCTCCGAAAGACTGAGCCGGCATATCATCTTGAGATTTACGAAGTCACTATAGGCGTCTCATCGTCGACGGGAACGTCTCCTCCCACTGAAAGTGCATCGCCGAAAATCCTGAAATAAATCCAGGAATAATGCGATCACCAGGATTTGAACCCTGGTGGGTTGGGGATACCACTGTCCACCTAACCAACTCAACCACAGGTTGATTCGCTAGACGTCTTCATAGTTGAAAAAAACGTCTCCTTCCATTGAACCCACATGGCCGAAAGATCTGAAATAAATTCAAAAAATGTGAGCACTAATCACTGACGAAGCATAGTGGTCGTGACCCCTTCAAGTTTTGCACATTTGTGACGAAAAAATTCAAGAGAGAGCACACATTAGTGACAGTTCTGTGTTTTGCGGCCCATAAAATTCAGATTTTGTGTTTTGCCCCTTCCTCCCTGTCTAGCTTTGTCAAGCTCCGCCACAATCACCAATGGCAAGTCTAGGACATGAACCCTAGTGGCTAGGAATACCACTGTCCTCCTAATTCACAGGTGGTTCACACTTCTGTAAAATTTTAAAAAACACGTTCCACATTAAATAGCACATAACCGTGTTCATCTGTGTTGTGATCCTGAATTTTTTTTTTGGAATAAATTATGTGAAAAAGAGATAAAAAAATTTAAACCCGTCAATACAACGAAATATACATGTTTTATTTGAAACACAATGTATGTGTTCATTTTGTGCTAATACTTAGTCCAACCGCTTTCTCCATGTCATTGTTCGTGTACATTCTCTTCATCTTTTCATCATATTTCAATTCATTCTTTATTATTCAACCGGTTATTGTTTTCAATCGTATTCGCCCCTCCCATTGTTACTATTTACCTTTTTTCTGGGTGCATCTACTTCAGTGTCAACTTTCACTAGTCTTCTTTTTTTCACATGATTTGTGTTCTTCCTTTCACTCGTTTGACGGTCTTCTTTCTTAATTTGGTTTATGTCTATTTAATTATCCTCGTCTTTCTGTTCTAGCCTATTTCAAATTCATGGCATGCTTTTTCGCAGTGCAAAATCATCAACTCATTATTCGGTGTTCTCATTGTGTTACGACACATTATGTCATCTTGGACATACTTGTCATTCTAAAAATACCATTACAGATACCACTATGATTTCAGCGCGCCCTTCAATAGAGTTTGTACTAGGAAGAGTGAGGCAAGAGAGTCAAGTGTGGGCATCTGCCGGGCTAATGAAAGGGAATTGACGGTGTCCTGGACTAGGGGGTACTCACCACGTCGTCTCCCGATCTATTAGATTGGGCCGAGGACCCCCGTGGCCGTATACTCATGGGCCAGTTCGGACGGCTACCGCATACAAGGAAGATTCCACAAGACTTGGCGATCAAGACAAAGACTTCTCCCCACCGGCGTATTCGGCTAGGACTCTTGTTATCCTAGGTCTCCGGTGCATTATATAAACCGAGGCCAGGCTAGTCGATAGATATACAATATATACAACAATCATACCATAGGCTAGCTTCTAGGGTTTAGCCTCCTTGATCTCGTGGTAGATCTACTCTTGTACTACCCATATCATCAATATTAATCGAGCAGGACGTAGGGTTTTACCTCCATCAAGAGGGCCCGAACCTGGGTAAAACATTGTGTCCCTTGTCTCCTATTACCATCGATCCTAGACGCACAGTTCGGGACCCCCTATCCAAGGTCCGCCGGTTTTGACACCGACATTGGTGCTTTCATTGAGAGTTCCGCTGTGTGATCGACAAAAGGATCGATGGCTCGCCTGCAGATCAACTGCGACTTTGGCATCTTCGTCACCAGCTCGACTGGTCACCTTGGTTCGACCAAGAATTGCGCCCCGTGTTCGGATCACCATGTCCGAACGAGGGCCTTCATCAAACATCAACTCCGGTCTCTATCAAGATCACGGAGGAACCATCTATGGAGCTCGGGGGCTCAACGTCAACATTGCCCTCAAGCGACCGTGCTGTTTTTCTGGACAGCGAACTCGTATCTGCCACCACCACCTCCTCAAGTATCGCTTTGACGATCGCTTTGGTGGAATTGTGCGGAATTGAGTCTACAACAACCCTGGAAAATTTTGTCGAGTTCCGATGGAGGAATCTCTGGCAATCCACGATATACCGGAGCCCTATCAAATCTGGACGGGAATTTGGATGAGTTTAGGGCATGGTGTCCATCTTCTAGCTCAGACGTCCTTTGGAAGATCCAACCGTTGATCGGCTGCGGAATTCCTATATCTACCACCTCTCAAAATTTCGGCTCGATCCGACCGTCCAAACTCCGGAAACCTTCCGATTAGTGCATCACTTTTCGGATCTGTTTTCTGTGCGAAAACGAATCCGACCCGAGTTCATCTTTTTTATGAACAGGATTTTGGACATCCATTTTGAAGGAAGTTTTGTATGGGGTATTGTGTTTTGTTCCCGAACACATCCCACTAACTTTAAGATCTTTTGAACATGATCTTCAACATCATGCTGGTGTCAAACCAGTCCGGCAATATTACTCCACGGCTGCCGACTTGCGCTAGACACGACGTCACTTTGTTGAGCCGAGCTCAACTTCTTCGGATCATCATCTCGGCAAGCCGAACAAGAGCCCGGCATCGCGAAGGATAAATCATCACCAACATCGCCGCCCCACGGATTACACGGAGCGGGCATACCGGCATCGCCGCACGGTCGCTTCATCAAGCCGTCATTGACCACGTCACGACCTGCATCGACAGGGCCGCACTATTGCTTCTTCAAGCTGGTGTCCATCACGCCGACCTACTTCGACTCATCGGCTGACATCGAGGCTTCGACATCTCGGCTGGATCGGGGGCTTCGCCATCTCTTCATCAACCTACTCCGGACACTTCGGCATCACTAGCCGATCAGCTCCGTCACATTAGCTGGGCCGAGGGCTTTGCCTCGGCGAGTCAACCTTTACCAGCATTGCCATGCCGTCGTTTTATCACCCATCAGGCAATGGGTGTGCGGAGCGGGTCCCAATTTTAGGAATCACCTTCCTTCGGATTGCTACAACAAATAAACCAGGTGCTATTAATCCCAGTATTTTTTGCTTGTTTGGGTTCATTTTTCCCAAGGAATTATTACTCTGGTTTGTCCGTCATATGTACACAGGTCTATCAAATGGTGGCTGCATTAACGACAGTCGCATGGTGGTTCGGTCAGTTTCCGTACATAGTCCGGCGAACGCCGCACTCGGAGCTCGGACCGACCTGCGAATTCAGGCTTTGCCACGCCTTTACCGCATCACGCCGACGCCCTGCATCGACTTGACTTTGGCGCCAGGCCATATTTCTTTTATTACTCACTTTGCATAAATTATTTATTATGCAATGATTTTTTTAATTATCATTATTACTATTATCTCCGATTTGCACTATTTTTTGTGCACAGGAAAATAATCCGGGGACTTCGGCGTTACTCTGCCGGTCTGCATTGATCGTGATATGTCACCACTTCGGCATGTCAAGCTCTCCGCTCCGCCACCTCGGGACCAGCTTGAGGGATGGAACCTTGCCCCGCATCAAGCTCGGACCGCGTCATCAATACCGAACACATTAACCAGCTAAGTCGCTTTCATGCTCAAAGCTTTAATTTCTAACTTGCGTTCGGTTCGACCAAGCATTATACTTTTTTGGAAAAAAGTTGCTTCTAAAAAATTTCCTTGTCCAAACTTTGTTTGTGACGCATAAATTCAAATACCCCATTTACTTGGGGGCTTCCTTTATGAAGCTTTTCCTATTGCATATGATTATACTTGTACGGCTTCGTTCCTTGTTCGTGTATTACGCCACAATATGCACCACATTGACTTAAGCGATTTGCAAGCTAGGTTGCCTCGCTCCTGTGTTTACCCCTACGTTCCCGATTGTTCGGCTAGGGAGTAAAGGGAGCACATCTGCGATTGTCACGATCGGGTCACCCGAGCCGGACCTCAGACTGGGTGAAGCCGAAAGCTAGCGCTCTTATAGTTATTCAATGATGGTCGGCACACAACGGAACTCATGAGTACAAAAAATCTATTGCACAAGTCTCATAATAACAATGAGCACCGAAGAAAGATATCGGTGGGGGTACTATTTTCTTCGAAGATGCTTCTTACTCTTCGCAGTAATATAGCATAAGTTCCCTGAGCGCGCTTTGTCTGTTACAGCCTTATGGCCTGATTGCCTGGTTATTGGAAACACCATCGATATTCTCGACCGATGGAGTACATAACACTTTTCGGTCCTTAACCGAAGAGGGAGAAGCCGACGGTCGGTTAAGACGCGTTTAAAGTTCGGTTGAACATAGATATGATATAAGTACTTCGGTACATGCAATCATTCTTCTCCCCAAGTCACTTGGGGGCTCTTAAGTTTATTTGAGCCGTTTTATAATAAGTGTTCTTCTTCTCAGTCGTTGCAAAGTTCTATTATTATTATTTATCACTCCTTTTTTCGACGCGAGTGTGCGGTCACTAGTCGGGGAGCCTAATTTCTCTCTCAAAGCCGCTAGAGTTTAGTTTGCTAAACTGGCCTAATGAGAAGTACTCCGCCCTCGGGATA